GTGCCGCTTAGCTAAATCCCCAGCCCCAAGTTGCCCCTCTGGCCAGTGCTAAAAGGGTGCTTCCTCATCCAGAAAAGGTCAGTATGTAGCCCAGGGTGTAGAAGTGGGTCAGGCCTTGGAAGGGTGGGACAAGCCTGACACCTTGGGCAGGGAGGAAGCAGGGTGGCCAGCAGGTAAATGCGGTTGAGCAGAATGAAGGAGGGGCTGGGGACTGGGTCAGTGGCAGAGAGCCTGCCTGGCATGTGTGGGGCGCTGGACTGCACCTCCAGCCCTGAAGAAAAGAACGGAGGGAGGGGATGCAGGAATGGACTATCTCAGGTCTCTGCTGCAGTCGGGAAAGGTGACTATCGCTGAGCCAGCTCCAAATCGGAGCCGTAAGAATCCCCGGCAGTTTCCATTTAGCGCTCTTGAGTGTTGTTACATGAGACGTAAATGTTTATGGCAACACTTGTCAAATAAAATCATTACAGTGTGTGCTCGTCAACCTTATTCACCGGATCCGGCATCTGCGACTTCGGGCTCTTCCCCGAGTCACACTGGTCAGCAGAGGTGTTAGGGGACGGGGTGTCCCCCAGAGCTGCTGCGCACACAGGAGGGGCTCGTGGAAGGGCTCTGCTGAAGAGGCGGGTTCCTGGGGCCAAGCCCCAAAGGGCGCCTCTGCCTTCCAGGTCCTGCCTCTGCTCTCTGACAGCGTGATGAGCAGTGTTCCCCCTCCCTAGGCCCCTCCCTCAAGCGGGGACTGGAGCTCCCGAAACATGAGCAAAAATAAGCCTCTCTGCCTTTACGCTGTGGGTGTCAGGTATGTGCTTTGTTCCAGCAAAGAGAAAGTAACGGAGACAAAAGGTAAACTTCTTTAATCCATTCAGGACATCGAGGCAGCCATGATAGCGCCAAGAAAGACACGGAAGGGGAATCCAGGGCCGCGTAAGGAGGGGCGAGGACGATGAGATAAAGCAAGGGGGAGTGTTCTGGGGAGTGCTGATGGAATGAGTCGTTTAGCGCAATCCACTTCTCAGACTTTAAACATTCACTGCATTTTATGATCACACGGCATACTTTGCAGCTCGCATTGGCTCTCAGGAACAAGCCCAGTGAGAAGCAGTGTCCTCTACGGCAAATGCTGTGAACTGCGCTCCTCGTCCTTGGTGGTCTGGTGCCAGGAGGCGTGCGGACGAGTGCAGACGATGGCTGCTTTCCTGTGAGAAAGTCAGCACTCCGGCGTGTGTGTGATGCTAGTGTATCGTGCTTTAAACTAGGTGGGCCACTCTACCTTAAAAACAAAACAAAGCAAAAATAAGGCACACACGTGTACAAGTTGATTTTGGCTTACGGGGGATCATTTTGTCACCTCTCATCTAGATAATGGTTTAAATATGCTTTGTCCCTATCAGAACTCACACTGAGGCCTAGGCCCCAGTACAGCACTGTTGAGAGATGCTGGGGTCTTTTGAAAGCGACTGGGCCACTTGGGATTAAATTCTCTAGGAGGACTGGGTTGGTTATCACCCAAGTGCCCTGTTAGAAAGCAAGCCTGGTGCTTCCTGTGTTAGCGAGTTCTTGTTGCCACAACAAAATGCCTGAGGAAATCAACCTACAGGAGCAAAGGTTATTTGGCTTGTGGTCTCAGAGGTTTCAGCCCGTGGTCAGCTGGCTCCATTGCTTTCATTACTGAGGCAAGGCGGGAAGATTACGGGGCAAGGCGGGAGAGCTGCCCAGCTGACGGCAGCCGGGGAGCTGAGAGAGAGGAGCTGGGGTCTGTGCCAGCAGGCTGCTTCTGCTTTTGCTTCCTCCAGGTGCCCATCCTGTTGGGTGGTGCCACCTACATTCAGGGCAGGTCTCTCCCCTCAGTTTGCTGCCCCCCATGCCAGTCGTCTCTGGAAAGACACCCGCCCGGAGGAGTGCTTACTGACTTCCCAGGTGTTTCTCAGTCTAGTCAAGTTGGTGATAAACCACCACCTGCGCGGCCCTCCCTTCCCTTCCCTGCCCTCTGCTTTTCTTCCACAGTTGTCTGCTTGCCATATGCAGAGTGGGGCCCTTGCCAGAGGCAGAACAAACTTCTTTATGAAAATGTACAAACTGCCTAGTGTCAGGCATTCTGTTACAGCAGCAGAAAATGAAAGGCAATATAGAACAATGCTCTTCAATACTTGATATTAAAAGGCATTTTTGTAAAAAGGGAAGCAAATATTTCTTATTCCCTGAGTGGTAGAAGATTCCAAACTCACCCACTTTGTTGGTAGAACTTGTTGCCTGTTAGACCAAGGACCACAGCTCCCTATCCCATGGTCGTTCTGTAGGGTAGCTCACAACAGGACCCTGGCTTCATCAGTGAGTGAGACAGAGCCATGGTCATTTACAGCCTAATTTCCAAAGTGACAATTATTTTGGCTGTATTCTACTTTTTGCAGTGTACTGTTCAGTGGTATTAATTACATTCCAAATGTGCAACAGTCACTGCTGTTCCCAAAACTTTTTTCTCCAACCTTTTCTCCCAGTATGGGAGATTGAGCCCAGCGATGACACACACCAACTAGGAAAGCACTCCAGCACTGAGCTACATTCCCAGCTCACTTTTTCCTTTCTTTTTTAAATTTTGAGACAAGGTCTTGTTAAGCTGCTCAGGCTGGTCTTTAACTTGTAATTCTCCTGCCTCAACCACCCTCCCAACCCTGAGTAGCTGGGATTACTGGAGTGCAACACCATTCCCAGTCCAACTTTTTTCTTTATTACAGTAAAGTATAGAGATCAAAACATCATCTTAACACATTTCAAGTTTAAGTTCAGTTGTATTAAGTACTTACATTCATAATGCTATGCAACATTTTGCCTGGGAGGAGAAGTGGCCAAATGCGTCACTATACTGACTCATGGCCATAGCCAACAGTCTGGCTGGATGGTCAGGAACTTGGAAGGAACATAGTTGGAAAATCTGTGGCAAAGATATTTGGGGAAGAGGTATGTAGATAGACCTCTCCATATGGGCAAAGGATGTAAAAATATTTGTTTCCCCTGTAAATGCTCACCAAAAGGTGATATCAGCAGAAGAGGACTTTAATAATCAAGTGGATAAGATGACCCGGTCTGGGGATAGTGGCCAACCTCCTTCGTCAGCCACCCTGGCATTGCCCAATGGGCCCATGAACAGAGTGGTCATGGTGGCAGGGATGGAGGTTATGCATGGGCTCAGCAACATGGACTCCCAAGCCTATCTGGCTACAGCTACTGCTGAATGCCCAGTATGCCAGCAACAGAGACCACCACTGAGTCCCCAGTATGGCAGCATTCCCCCGGTGATCAACCTATGAACTGGTGGCAGGTGGATTATATTGGACCACTTTCATCATGGAAGGGACTGTGCTTTGTCCTCACTGGTATAGACACATATTCTGGATATGGATTTGCCTTTGCTGCATGTAATGCTTCTGCCAAGACTACCATCCATGGATTCACAGAATGCCTTATCCACCATGATGTAATTCTACAGAGCAGTGCCTCTGACCAAGGAACACATTTTACAAAGAAGAGAGGCAATGGGCTCACAGAATTCACTGGTCTTACCGTGTTCCTCACCATCCAGAAGTGGCTAGATAGATAGAAAGGTGAAATGGTCTTTTGAGGACACAGTTAAGGCATCAGCTAGGTGGCAATAGCTTGCAGGGATGGAGTAAAGTATTTCAAAAGGCTGTATATGCTTTGAATCAGCGTCCACTATATGGCACTGTGTCTCCCATAGCCAGGATTCATGGGTCCAGGAATCAAGGGGTGGAAGTAGGGATGGAACCACTCACCATTGCCCCTAGTGATCCACTAGCAAAATTTTTGCTTCCTGTCTCCATGATCTTATGTTCTGCTGGCTTAGAAGTCTTAGTTTCAGATGGGGGAAGGCTTGCATCAGGAAGCACAACAATGATACCATTGAACTAGAAGCTAAGATTTCCCCCTGGTCATTTTGGTCTCCTCATGCCTCTGAGGAAACAAGCTGAAAAGGGAGTCACAGTGTTGTCAGGGGTGACTGACCCAGATTATCAAGGGGAAATTGGACTACTACTCCACAGTGGGGGAAAGGAAGAATATATGTGGAGTGCAGGAGATCCTTTAGGGCGCCTCTTAGTATTACCATGCTCCGTTATTAAAGTCAGTGGGAAACTACAACAACCTAATATAGGCACAATGAGAAATGGCCCAGACCCTTCAGGAATGAAGGTATGGGTCACTCCACCAGGGAAAGAACCAAGACCTGCTGAGGTGCTTGCTGAAGGCCAAGGGAATACAGAATGGGTAGTGGAAGAAGGTAGTTCTAAATACAAGCTACAACCCCGTGATCAGCTACAGAAAAGAGGATTTTAATTGTACTATTTCTCCCCTAATATGATTCTAATATAATATAATGTTGGTAGACTTAATACTGATCCTTAAGATTGTTAAAACTGTGTTATAATGTTTAAATTATGAAATGAAAAGAGCAAGCATCAACCAAAGAAAACTTACCTTCTATTCTGATAAGGGAATTAATGCATTTCTGTTTGTGTGCAGGATAGTTATAACATGTTAGGTACAATTCTATGCATTTCTTTGTATCTGGACACCACTTTAAAGAAATGTGTCTGGTTGCCAAATTGACAAGGGGCGGATTGTAGTGGTTGATTGTGTCAATATGAGAAGTTTAGAAGCTTAACTAAATCTGCTCAACAATCCTACACCCTAGGGCATAGAGGACCCACCCCAGGGTGGATCATCACTTGGATGGTATAAAAGAGAAATGAGGAAGGACAGTCGGGCTTCCATTCTTTGGAGGAGCTCCAGTCTTCACCTTTAGCTTGGACATTGTCTCCTGACTTCTAGTGCAGACTCTTCGGCTTCTGCCTTGGATCCTTCAGCCTTTCAGTGTAGACTCTTCAGCCTTCCGTCACAGACCCATCGGCCTCCTGATATGGACTTGCTTGGACATTGCAGTGAGCCCCAGGCCTTGGACTGGACTCTTCAATCTCCAGCATGCAGACACCTTCTTGCTTCCTCATCCAACTCTCTGGCTGACCATTGTAAGCCAAACTTACAATTTCTTATATATTTGTATATCTTGTGTTTTATCTGTTTCTTTAGTAAAACCCTGACTCCATTTCTAGAACTTTTTTCATCTTGCAAATTTAAAATTCATTTTTTTGTTTTGTTTTGTTTTGTTTCTTTTTGAGACTGGGTCTCGCTGTGCAGTTCAGGCTGGCCTTGAGCTCACTTTGTAGCCCAGGCTGGCCTTGAACTCGCAACGGATTCTCCTGCCTCAGCCTCCTGAGTGCTGGGATTACAGGCATGCCCCACCATGCCCAGCTTTTGCAAATCTAAAATTCAACAAGCATTAAACAGTAATTTCCTATTCCTCCTCCCCCTGTCCTTACCATTTTGTGTTCTCTTTGTATGAATCTGACTACTCCACACCCAAGTGCAATCATATATTTGTCTTTCTGTGGTTGGCTTATTTTGCTTACATAATAGCCTCAAGATTCATCCATTTCATCTATGTTGTAGTACGTGTCAGAATAGCCTTCCTGTGAGGACTGGGCAATCATCTGCTGTATGTGCAGACTATATTTTGCTCATCCATTTGTCCCTGGATGGACTTGAGTTGCTGCCTCCTTTTAGCTGTTATAACTAATGGTGCCTTGAACACAGATGTACAAATAACTCCTCAGGATCCTGCTTTTAATTAAGTGGGGGTACATGCCTAGAAGTGGACTTGCTGAATTGTGTAGCAGTTCTGTTTTCAGTGTCTTTAGGAAACCCACACTGTTTCCCACAATGGCTGCCCTGGTTTTCCTTCCCACCAAGAGTGAACAAGGCCTCCAATTTTTCCACACCCTGTCCAATACTTGTTCTGCTCTGTTCTTTTTTTTAACTGTAATTATCCTAATGGGTGTGAAATAGGACCTCATTGGGGATTTAATTTGCATTTCCCTAGTGATCAGTAATAGTGAGCACCTTTTCATAGCTTGTTGGCCATTTGTACATCTTCCTTGCAGAAATGAATTTTCAAGTCCTTCACTCATTTTTAAAATCAGGTTTCTGTTGTTCTATATATCCTGGATATGAACACTTTCCCAGATACACAACTGGAAAATCACTCTGTCCAGCCCTCTGGTAAAGTGAGAGCAGGACTCTCCTCACATCTAAGTCACCAGGAAGAGCTAAGGGTTGGGCGGCAGCCTCCACCAGCCCCTGCACATCAGAGTAGGGGCCCGAGCCAGAGCTGGATTTCAGAGTGACATTGTTTATCACAGGTGGAGTTGAACTGATGTAGCCTAAGGGCACCTTGCCTCTCAGGGGTTGGCCTGCCACCTAGACACAGTGCCCACTGGATGTCACCAGCACTCAAGCCATAGTCTCCACTGGCAGGTTGAGGCAAGTGACCATCACAACACCATCAGTGACATTAGTGGGGTGAGTTGGGGGACCCACTCATGCACGACTGGAGGAATCCACATCGCTGTAGCATTTGGGGACAATGAGATGTACCAAGAGCCTTCCACATGGTCATAACCTCTATCTTATTGGTTCCCTTATGAGTCTCAAGCATAAGGAGAGAGTCACATGATTTTTACTTTTAAATAACCAATTTTTTAAAACATAAAGAATATATATATTTTATGTATATAAAATTTATTTTATGATTATTTCTAGAAGGTAGACAACAGGCACATTTAACTTTCTTTTTTCCCCTCATCTGCATTTTCTACAATTTGTGACTAAATCACCTTAATAAACCCCTCTTTACCTGTCAGCCACTCATATAAGAAGGGAAAGATTCTCTTACAAGCACATGTCCACAGCGGCAAACTGGGAGCTTTAGAAAAGACTTTGCAGACTGTTAAGCTGATTGCACTCCTTCCCTCTTAGGCCTCCATGTGTGATGGCTACAAACAACAGCCTCTTTGGTGCAGCCTGTTGCTTTTATGGGTTTTGCTGGCCCTAAGGACCCTAACTCAGCCCTTACCAGTGGATGCTCGTGTTTCTGACCACGGACTGTTCCCAGTCTAGGCTCTGCACAGGTGCGATGTTACCTCTGGGGAACCATGGGACATTGGGGCCATGGTCTCATTGGCCAAGTCATCTTGTGCATCTGTGCAAGCTTCAGAACACGGAGTGCGTGACGAGTTCACTGACCACCAAAAGATCCGTGTACAAAAGAAGAGATGCTTTATTACGTGTAACACTGATGGCTCAGAAGACCCAGTGGCTAAGCAGCAGCTCCTCCCAGATGGCTGTGGGGTCACATAATCCCCGGTGGTGGTCCTCGGACAAGGAGCAGCCTCTGCATTTGTGAGGACCTCCACTGTGTTCCCACCCATCATACCACTAACAAACAAAAGGCCCAAAGCTAGAGACTTGGGCTACACGATGACTATAAATCTATGGGATGAACACTTACGCGGTTACTCAAATGTACTTATCAAGTTTTTAGCAAAACAGAAAAATCGTCCTTACAAGTTTACTACAGAAATCAGATAATATTTAGGAGATAACACACTTATACATGAAGTCAGGGGCCGGGGATATAGCTCAGCAGCACAGCACCTGCCTGGCAAGAGCAAGGTCCTGAGTTCGATTCCGAGTAGAAAAAAAATACATGAAGTCAGATGTTGTATGCACTTTATGTAATCAAATCAACACAATTGTCAATAAAATATCAATTCTTGATATATAAGAGGCATTTACAAGGTCAAGCCAATTAATCTCTTTTTCCAACCAAATTAATGAAGTGTTCTGGGCAACAGTTTTGGCTGAGTTTGGTTGGGGTGATGGATAGGCTCAACCGTTGAGGTTTACCTATGCTGGTTGATTAGTTATTGAGTTTGAGTGTTTTGAATGGCTCATTCAAAGCATGATTAGACACTTTTGCTTACATGTGGCTAAAAACTATAGTAGACTCCCTGTATCGGTAGCTTCTGCATCCACAGATTTGACTAATCATGGCTCAAAAATATTTGTTAAAAATTGCATTTCCAGGGCTGGGGATTTAGCTCAGCGGCAAAAGCGCCTGCCTGGCAAGCGCAAGGTCGTAAGTTTGGTTCCTGGTACCGGAGAAAAAAACCAAAAACCAAAAACCAAAAAAAAAAAAAAAAAATTGCATTTCCTGGAGCAGAGCTATAGACCTGTGATCCCAGCAACTACGAAGGCTGAGGCGGGAAGTTCACAAATTTGGGGCAAGCCTGGGAAACTTAGCAAGACCCAGTCTCAAAGTAAAAATGTAGCTTAGCACTAGAGCACTTGCTTGTTATGCACAAAGGCATGAGTTCTATTCACAGTATTAAAAAAAAAATCATGCATCTGTATTGTACACACACAGATGTTTTCTTGTCATTATTCTTTAAAGAATACAGTATGACTCTATAGCATTTATGAAGTATTAGGTGTCAAAAGTCACCTAGAGATGATATAAAATACAGGGAAGGTTGTGCATAGGCAACATGCAAATACAATCTCACTTCATGGAAGGAACTTGGCTGTCCACAGATCTGGGAGCTCTTAGGGTGGGAGTGGGGGTCCTGGGAACAGCTGGTTTGTTTACTAAGGAACAGCTATGTTCTGATATAAATCCACCAAGAGGTAACCAATCTCTGAGTAATGAGATTGCAATAACTATATTTAATTTTTATACTTGTTAGACATACTGTTTTGTCCCCAATATTTCTCTGTCCTCTTCCCTGAGTAGGTTTCCACCCATTGCCTGTGAGTCTGCAGTGTCCACTCTGGAAGGAGTATATTTCCTCTCTCCATGCACCCTGGACTTGGCTATGTGGCTTGATACATTTGAAGGAATGTGAGCAGCAGTGACTTGTGCAATGCCGGGTAGGAGCTCTGAAAGCCATCCTGCAGCTGGGCATGGCGGCACACACCTGTATTCCAGCGCTGTGGGAGGCTGAGGTGGGGCACTCACAAAGTCAAGCCCATCCTGGGCACCTAGCAACTTGGAATAAAAATAAAAGGGCTGGGGATGTAGCTCAGGGTGAAGGCCCTGGGTACAATCCCCAATACCACAGGGACTAAAAAAAAAGAAAGAGAGAGGAAGAAGGAAGGAAGGAAGGAAAGAAGAAAGAAAGAAAGAAAGAAAGAAAGAAAGAAAGAAAGAAAGAAAGAAAGAAAGAAAGAAAGAAAGAAAAAAAGAAAGAAAGAGAAGCCAACATGCTCTTCAGTGAGTTTTGTTTTCTCTGTAACAGGACACATGTCCCACGGGCTCCCTGATGCTCACTATGAGACAGGAATGAAAAACAAACCTTTTGTTGCTGGAAGCTGCTGCAGTTTTTTGGTTTTATTTTGATGGGGGGGTGGGGGGGTTGGTACCAGGAATCAAACTCAGGACCTAGTGCTTGCTAGGCAGGCACTGTGATGCTGAGATATATCCCTGGCGCCTTCAGCTTGGGAGCTGTTCGTTACTGCATCTGTCTGAGTAAAAGGTGACTCATCTCCACTTTCCAAGTTTCCTAACAATGATATGTATAAGTTGCATACTTGGCTTTTATAAGTAATTAAAATGCAAGTTGAGTATCCCTTATCTAAAATACTTGGGACCACGAATGTTTTGGATTTTGGAAATCTGTATATGCATAGTGAGATTCTAGGGGCTGGGACTCAAGTCCAAACATGAAATTCATGTACGATTCTTGTGTACTTTATATGTGAAGGATGAAGATAATTTTATACAATGCTTTAGGGTGCCTGTCTTTTGATTGCAGCCCATCAACCCATCCTATGAGGTTGGGAGAATTTTCCTCCCATGACGTCATTATCAGAACTCTAAAAGTTTCAGAGTTTGGAGCATTTTAGATTTCGGATTTTTGGATTAGGGATGCTCAATTTATACAGATTATTGTAAGGGTATTTAACATATAATTACAAATCTCTTATCTGTTCAGAGTCTATGTTATGAAAACAAACCTTGAATATTCTCATTAAATTAGATTTGATAAACCATAGGGATCTAAAAGTTATTTGGAAATAAGTTAAACAGACCCGGAGGTGTCCCAGGCTTGACCTTGCTGAGGATGCTCAGACAGTGCCTGTGGCCCTAGGTGGGGCTGGAGCGGAAGCAGCGATGAGTGGGGATTAGTGGGTGTTACTGCCGCCTGCCCAGCAGGTCTCCTGTGTGGGAAAGGCACTGGGCCACTCGGCGATGCATTGCTTCAGTGAAACACTTGAGGCACCGGCTTGTAAGGAGAAGGGGAGTTTTAGCTCCAGGGTCAGGCAGTCTCATTTATTTGGACTTTGGTGCAAGGGGTGGAAAGCAGTGGCTCTTGAACCTGAGCAAAGAGACCAGCGTCCCATGATTTCTGAGGGACCGGCATGGAACGACCTGAGGCCCTCCCACGAAGCCCCACCAGCTCTTACACAACCACCTGGGAACAAAGTTCCTATCAAACGAACCCTTGGGGCACAAACCCCGTCCATACCACAGCAGGCTCCTTAATTTTCTGTGCGGAAGTGGCTCTCCTCACAGCCAGCCTGTGTAGTTTGATGCGCAGATCCATTCCCAGACTAAGTATGAAACCCAGACCCAGCCAGGCAGAGCAATGACTGGGTCCGGGAGGGTCACTGATCTTCAGGAAGACACCATACAATGTGGTTACCAAACCAGGTCATTCTCTGCCGCCAGTTCTGGGAAATGGAATACGGGCAGAAAGCAAGAATGCTACTTTCAGGCCTATTTGCTTGAAAAACAACAAAAACAACAACCCTCTGATTCTGTTTTCTTTGCCTTTCCATAATATCCTTGAGCCGTCACATTGAAGAAGGGTCATATTATGGAGGAAACTGATATCTTCATAATTACCTGAAACTCATATCTTCGTGATTACCTCCAAACTCACTGCATGATGTAAGTATACAGTGTTATTATGTTAAGTCACTGGTATTGTAGGATTTGTATGTTACCATTACAAAGTCTTGCCTATTCTCACAAATATATGACCCAAACCCAAGGGAGACTCATTAAACTCAGCCCTACAGACTCTGGAGTTACTCTTTATGCTTGGAATTGCTAAGCAGGTAGGGTGTAATGTGGAGCACTACAAATCCTGTTCATTGTGTGAGTATTTACTGAGCCCTTACTATGCTCCTGACACCTCCTGGGCTCACAGGCCAAGGCTGCACATCAGAGAAGAGGCAGCCTGAGGATGAGGCTAACACAGAGGGAACTAAAGCAGGAAGCAGAGCTCCATTTTAGAGCCCTGGATCAAACCATCCACTCTCACTCTTTTTTAAAAACCACATTGAGTAGGTTTCTAACACTTGCAAGCGACAATTCATAAGTAATTCAAAGATAAGACTGAAGCAAAAGCAAGGTAATAGAACTGTGCTGCCAGCCAGAGGGCCGCTTACAGGCAGGCTGCAGATACAGGTTGGATTGCTTGTCAGAGCGAGAGCACGCAAGGTTGTGCAGGGCTGGGCAGACTCTGGGTGGTTGGGACACAGCCCCAAAGTCTCCTGGGCCTTAACCAAGGATGAGAAGGGAGAGCAGGCCTGCATGAGCTCAGCGCTGAGGTTTGCCCTCACACTCAGCCTTGTCTGTGACCACAGCCAACCCGACGTCTCAGCACAGCTTCACAAGCACAGACCTTGCTCCTGACCCCAAATTTTGTAGCACTGACAGAAGACGACATGTCGAAACCAGAAGACACAGATGGAAGCCAGTTCAACTGCACTCGGCACGTGTCTGTAGTGCCCCTACTGTGTGCCATTTTCAGTGCTGTCGGGAAAAGTGTCTCCAACACTTTCCACATGTCAGGAGCTTGCTTCTCCTCCCTCCTCCTGTTCTCCCCTTCCCCCCTGTACCCGTGCAACAGTAACTGAGCACAATATCAGCAAGGTCCTCTGCTAGGCAGAGATCACAGAAAGATCAGTGGGACACAGGGGCTTTGATGGCACAGAAATTGTGCTGTCATTAGATTGTTTATGCCATATTTTAGCCTTGCAACTTCTGAGCACATGATTGGATCACACTTCCTGTCCTCTTTGTTTGGGTGGGGTTGCATGACTAATATGTCAGACAAATGAGTTGGAGCATTTAACTACTAATGTGGGGTCTGCCAAAGTTCTCTCCTTCTGCCGTGGTGACTGTGGAAATGACATATTGAAATGATGTATTTCTTTATCTTGGGTTCCGGAAAAGGAAAACATGGAGCAGAAGCCATATGTAATCTACTATAAACATGCACTAAGAGGAAGAAATAAACCTTTGTTGTCACCGTCTACTAAGGTTTAGGGTTCTTTGTTATTGGAGCATGGCTTTACCTATCCTGGTTGATGTGCATATTTGCCAAAGGACACAGTGGTAAGTGTAGTAACATTCACGACAAAGCTTCGCAGCTTTCCCAGGAATTCCTGCTTGGAGGACACAGGACTTCTCCTGGTTGTGGGTGTTTTTCTATCAGGGTCGTCTCTCCAAACACCTCACTTGCCCACATCAGACTGGAACAAGATTTTCATCAGTCTACCTGGGACTGACTTCCAGACTGAGCTGCCTGGACAGGGAGACTTGTCAAAGTTTTGCCTTGCTGAAGTTTTGTTAGTTTCCTGGTGCTGCCATAACAAATTGCCACCAACTCATGCCTGAAAACAACAGAACTCTATTTTCGCATAGTTATGGAGGTCAGAAGTCCAGAATCAAGGTGTTAGTTGGATGGTTTTCCGTCTCAAGATCCTAGAGGAGAATCTTCTAACTTAGCTTCTTCTAACTTTTGGTGGCTTCCTTGGCTTGTGGCCACATCACTCCAATGTCTACCTTATCTGGATTTCACGTCACCTGCTCTTCCGTGTGTGTCTTCTCCCATGCATTTTGTATAAGGACATTTATTATTGGATTTAGGTTTCACGCAGACAGTTCAGGATGACCTCCTCCTCTCATAGGCCTTAGCTTAATTAAATCTCCAAAGAACCTTTTCCAAGTAAGGCAATATTCCAAGTTTCAGGGATTGGAACAGGGATGTATCTTTTTGGATGCCCACCACTCAGCCACTATATGTGTTCTCAGGACCAATTAATGGGATGGGGTATGGGACTCCTTGACATATTCCATGAAAATTAGTTCTTATATTTTTATTTTAATAGACTATTTAGGTAATATAAAATGACAAGGAAAAGTAAAATGAGCAAAGCCCCAAGGAGTCATAGTTTTAAACACCACAAGCAGTGTCTGGCTTGTATCTGGATGTCTCCTTAAAGGTTCACTCGGTCACAGGTGGGGCTTTTCAGAGGTGGCTGGATCTAGAGTGTGTGTTTCTGGGATTAAGGATGTGGTGTTGGGACTGAATCACAGTGTGATGTTAGATTAAGTGTGAGTGCTACCTTCTCATCTCCAGGAACACTAGCACCTTATATTTTATGTCTTTTATGCACCTTATATTATATGTCTCTTATATTTTATCCAGTGCTACCCACCTGCTCTAAAGGTGGGTAGCCTGGATAAAATATAAGAGACAGAAAGAGGGCTGCCATTGTTGCTTGTTGCCTGTTGCTTGCTGCCTTGGAACCAGCCAACTGTGAACTTTGTAAATGGTGAGCTAAATAAACCTTTCCTCCTTTAAATTGTGGGTGTTGGGTACTTTGTCTCAGCCATGAGAAAAGTAACTAAGACAGGCAACATCTGTGCCGGTCCTCTATCTTCTACCTGAGCAGATGAGGTGTCCCGGGGTGAAAAGAGCATGTTTGTACCACTGTGGGGCGTGCCGTGGAGAAGATATTGGGACCTGGGCCTCCTTCTTCCCCTCACTTCCTGTTTCCAGGCCCCCTTGAGGTGACAAGCCTCCTCTTTCACACACAGCTGCTGTAACATACTGTGCAGCCAGAACCTCAGGATAAGTGACCGCAAGTTGAAACTTCTGAAACTGTTCAAAATAAAACTTCCCTCCTTATAAGTTGATTCCCTTAGGTACTTTGTCACAGTGGCAGAAAGATGACTAACACAGAGTAAACTGCTATCCCCAGGTTAGAGAGGCAGACAAGTGAGTCACAAGTTCCTGGAAGAGAGACTCATGGGCAGAAACCTCCCTGGGGAGCAGGGTCAGCGGTCAGCGTAGGCAAGACTGAACTGTAACTGACAGCTGCTGGACGCCCAGTGTGGGCAAGTCTGAATGGTAACACTCCAAGAGAGCCCAGACACATGGGACCCTGTGGTTTTGTGAGTTGTACCTCCAAGGGCTCAAGTAGGTTCACACATTGAATGGTGGACAAAATGCCCTTGTGCCTTAAGTGGGTGTGGGGTGGGGTGGTGGTGCTAGTGTTCCTGGAGATGAGAAACATAGGTGCTTTGAAATACATCAGGGTATTCCGTTTTTCTTGACAAAGTCTTCCCTCAGATGGACTGACAATGAAACAAAAGAAACAAAATGCAACAGTATTCAGTATATAAGAAACAAAAAGAAACAAAAAAATCAAAGAGTGGAAAAAATATACAATGAGAACCTGCAAAAGCAGGTGTAGCTAACCTATATTTAGGTGAAGTGGACTTCAAGTCAAAACTGATCAAAGGAGGCAAAGGAAGTCACTACACATTGGTTAACAGAACAAGCCTATGGGAAGAGATAACAACTATTAACATACATGCACTAAATAATAGGACACACAACTTCATAAAATAATTACAGCTGGACATAAGAGATCAGATAAACATAAACATAATTATAATTGGGGAAATAAAAACCCCACTATCACAAATAGACTGATCAACTAGACCAAAAAATCAACATAGAAATGTCACAGTTGAACCAAACCTTTGAACAAACGGACTTAGTAGATATATATAGAGTGCGCTACCCTGTAACAAAATATACTCTGCACACATTGAACTTTCTCCAAAATAGACCACATACTAGCCAACAAAGCAAGTTTAAGTAAATGTAAATGAATTGCAATTATACCATGCATATTATCAGATCACAGTCCAATGAAACTAGAAACCAATGATAAAAAACCAGAAAATATACAAATGCATAGAGACGTAAGAGTATACTCTTAAATAGACAATAGATTACCAAATAAATCAAGGGAGAAATAAGACAATTTCTAGAATAAAACAATGCCAGTACACCATACCTGAACTTATGGGATGCAATGAAAGCAGTCCTATGGGGGAATTTTAGGTGTGAATATGTACATCACAAAGTCAGAGCAACCCTAAATAAATAACCTAACAATGCAACTCAAGGTCCTAAAAAATCCAAGAATAGTCCAAACCCAAAGGTAGTACAAGGAAAGAAATTATAAACAGCAGAGCAGAAATCAGTGAAATAGAGATTACAAAAATAATACAAAGAATCAATGAATCAAGGAGTTGGTTCTCCAAAAGAATAAACAAAACAGAAAAATCCTTAGGCAATCTAATGAGAGAGAGAGAGGGAGGGAGGGAGAGAGAAGCTACTTCCAGGAAGACGGCAGAGCAGTAAGCAGCAACAAATCAACTTATCCAAGAGTCGGAATCCAGATATTGGAAAATAACAACTTGAGGAAGAAAAGGAGGGTGGAAGTAGAGAGCCAGGAACCAGGAAGGATCTGAAGGGAAAATGGAGTACACAGAGTGAAGGGACACACCTCAGTGCAGAAAGAGGAAGCAGCAAGCCGCACTTGCTTCTCACCACCTGGTTGGTGGCAGGAGAGAGGTGACTGAAGCTGCAGGGACATGGTGAGGGCAGCTGACTCCAGCGGCCTCCAGGGAGGAATGCGCCAGTGGAATGGAGAAGTGGGTACCGTGCACTACAGCAGCTGGTGAGGACTCGAATCCAGGTGACTACATGTCCCCTGGAGAGTGTGCTCGGCAAGACACCCTTTTCAGGAGGGGCCAACTGAAGCCAAGACTCAGAGTCGCCATGGATCGGCTTCATCTCCGGGCTCCCAGTGTTAAACTCCCACAGTGAATTGGTGAGGGACAACTGTGGGAGGCTGCCAGGGTCAGGGAGCCATGGCCAGGTCAGCAAGAACACCCGGAGAACTGTAGGCTGAATGATCCAGACCACAACCCCACAGCCAGAAGGCAGGGTCAGCTTCAACTTCTGTGGACTTGAAAGCACCACAATCCGCCCTCTGCCCTAATCCTACTGCAGGCTTGCTGGGATTATTCAGCACCCTACATTAATCCTACTGCTGGGGTTATC